TTATTATTATTATTATTATTATTATTATTATTATTATTATTATTATTACTACTGTTATTTTTGTTTTCTTTGGGGGGGAAGGGAGGGAAGAGTTCTAGGGGTGGGGTTTGCAATATAAAACACACAATAAAAACCTTAGTAAATAAAAACATGAAAAACCCATCCCTCTGACTTGCTGTCTGCTTTAAGTGGAGAACTTCAGGCAACATGAGATGAGGTTTAAAGAAGAAAAGTCCCTTGGGTGGAATTTCAGTCCTTTGCCTCACTTCTGTCTCTGTTTTCCTGATGTCTTTAGAGCTTTAGCAGTGTGTTGACCACCTCACATATTCTCATCTGAAGTCTGTATTGAGCCATTGACAGTAGAAATGTAAAACTTTTGCCTACACTTGGTTTTGTAACAGTTCAAGGGAGGAATCTGGTAGTTGTTTTGCAGATGTGTGTACGAAATCCTTCACGTTAATGGCAGACATGGCAACTCTGGCTGACTGTGATCCCTGGAGAAGGGCCCAAGGAGCAGGATGCAGATGTGAACAACCTGCAACAGGGACTGTCACAGAAGCAGACAAAGCAGGGAGGAAGGAAGCAGCAGTTTCCAGGTCTCAGACTAAGCCAAGGTCAGGAGCTGATGTATTATAGGAAGGTAAAAAGGCCTCAGCTCTCAGCTTTTATTTCACTCCTGCAATGCCCCCTCGGAGTCTGTGTCCAAACCCTCTCTGGGAAGTGACTCCTGCTGGGTCAGTTGTCGTGTTTCTATGAGGGAAGTTCAGGCACTAAAACGTGTTACCTTTCAAAATTAATTTCTGTGCCAGGCTTTTTTATTTTACATACCATTACTCTAATAGAGGAAATGGGTTGCTAGTCCTGCCCCATCCAATTTTTTTTTTTAATTATAAGTAATGTTTAAATGTAAAATTTTCGGTTGGAATAGGAAAAAATCCAAGTTTTGAGCTCTTAAACTTCCCTGTGAAACCTTCCTTTTGCTCTCCATGCCCAGGTTTTGCTCTCCAAGCCTTGCAGTTCCTTGGTCGCATTTCTCCCTTTCCCCACACAGAGGAATGCTCCTGTCACAATCCCAGGTTTTGTGTGTACCTGGTTTCTAACCCAAGTCTACACCCAGAAACCTGCAGAAATTCAATCAATCTGCTTAGGCACATTGTGAGCAACCTGCTTGCAGAGGTGCAGCCTTGGCTGAATGCTGCTTTTCTGCAGGAGGGGACACCCAATGTCCCGGCCCCAGGTCACAGCTCAGCAGCACCTATTTTTCAGCACAGACCAGCAGTGCTGAAGCCTGAGGTCCCAGATGTTCTCCCTGTTTAGGGTGTTGGCTGGGAGGCCCCAGGGGGCATGACCCCGTCTCTGAGCTGCCTGCTCTCAGTGCCACCCTCCCCAGGGACCCCCCAGCAGCACACGGGGGAAGCTGAGGGGGAGCTGAGGGTCTGGCTGTGCTGGGATCAGAGCACAGTGCTGGGTCTTCCCATTGTCCCCAGCCCTGCTCTCTGGATGGGTGGGGTGTCTCCAAACCCATCCCCTCAGTGCCTGATTTCTCGCTGTCGATAAAAAGGGGCTGAATTTTAACACCAGTGTCTGCACCTTGGTTTTGTCACGTCATTTGCAGAGGCCTCAGACGTTCACTAAGTCCTGCACACCTTTGCCTGAGCCTCACTTTGACTTTAGGCTCTGATTTTAATGGAGCTGAATATGGTGCCATCTACTATGGCAAATTAAGGGAAGAAAATCCTGACGGCTCTGCCATTTACAGCGGCAGGAAAGGAGATTGATTTTCTTTTAAGCAGCATTGCAACCCAGCTGCCTCCAGCTTCCAGCTGACCCCAATCACAGCAGCCACTGTTCTGCTCAAGTCCCCCTTTTAGGAGGCACCTGATTAGAACAGACATTGAGTGAAGTCTCTCAGAAGAGGGAGATGCTCTTTTGTTTCGGTGCAGGAGACACCACAGCTTCCTAGGTTAAAACGGGAGCTGTAGCTCAGTAAGTGCCGGGCCTGCTGTAGGAATTCCGCTGGGTGACCTCTTGGCCTGGGCACTGCAGGACCCGGCTCTCCCACCCTGTCCCCCGGGAAGGGACTGGGAGCAGCCGGGAGCTGTCCCGCAGTGCCGGGCAGGAAGGCGTTAACAGCAGCTCCCGGTGCCACGTGTCTGAACGCCTTCCCCTCCCTGGGAAGCCGCTCTCCCTGAGTGTGCTGCAAATTAGAGAGCCCTTCAGGGTCATTTTCCCCCTCTTCCCTTTTATTTTGTGTTTTTATACGCCGCTTTGTTCGGCTGTGATGGGAATGGCCCGGGCTCGCCCACGCGGCTGGCACAGCCCCTCCGGAGGAGCACACGTGCTGTTCTCTCCTGCCTTGCCGGGGCCCTGGGGTGGTCGTGGCTCTCGGGTGTCCTGTCCACCCGCTGCAGCCCCAGGGTGGTGTCCATCCCTGTCGGCTCCTCTGCAAGGCTCAGTGCTGACTGGGGGCGCTCCAGCCCCCAGGGATCTGGGAGCTGCTCCCTCCTATTGCTGATGCTCCAGTTGGCCCAGCTGCCTCTCCATCCTGGGAACAGCTCCATGGGGTGGGGGTACAGCACATCAAGGTGCTGCTGGAGCAAACCCACCAGAGCCAGAAGGGCCGAACAGACTCGTGGGAGCAGTGATTTCTTGCTCTCAGTAGGAAAGATGGAGGACAGGGCTCCGGTGCTGCTCCTTTGTAAACAATTCCTGCTTTCCCCCCTCCTCCCGAGAGCAGCCTGGATGTATTGCCAGGAACGCAGTACCCCTCCAGGGGAGAGAGGGGGCACGGTGTTGGGTCAGGACAGTGCTCATGGCTGCACTGCCAGGCAAGAACAGTGTCCTGAGGGATTATTAACCCTTTCCCTGCTGCCTTATGTTTCATGGCAAAGATTTCAATGTCAGGACAACTTGGTATTTCATGTCCCTGCAATCCTTGCGCTCCTGGAAAGGCTGTGGAACTGAGGACATACATACTTAGCTCTATGAAGATGCTCTGCCAGGGCTGCAGATACTCCAGGGAGACCTGGGGACACAACACACACATTTTTAACTCCCTGTCCCCAGCAAAGTGGTCTCCAAAATCATAGAGTTTGGTTCAGGTAGTATGAAAACAGGCAGACACCAGCCTTGGGCACTCGGGAATATCCTCTGAGAGCCCATGAGTCACAAGCCCTGGGACTCAGCACCCAGTTCTACTTTGTCCTGGTGCTATTCTTTGCTTGATGGGTTTTACTAGATCCCAATGGATCTCACAGCTCCTAAAGCAACCTTGGTTGGGAACAATGTCCCCACTCCAGCCCTCATCCCATGGACACTCCACTGCAGCAACCAAAGCCCAGCTGGGTGGGCAGAGCAACCCTAGCCATGAGCAGCTGGGTGGGGCCCTCAGGTGATGCCCATAATGGGGTCCTGATTAGGGGTGAAGATGGGAAGCACCTGGGGAGGGTGGGGCACAGGGGCTGGGTCCAGTGTGACCTCTTCCAGTCCTTGCAGCAAACAGCAGGTTTCTCTAGGTCTACACAGGTAATAGGGGTGGTGGGGATTTTGGGGTGGCTCCTTACTTTAAGCTCACTTTTTGAGGGGTGCTGGTGGTCCTTCTAATTCCTGGCTGCTGGGAGCAGCTGTGGGGAAAGCCCTGGCTCTGTGCTCCCAGTCCACATTGGGCACTCTGTCCCCCTGGACATGGCTGCCCTGGGAGGTGGTGTGGGGGTTGTGGTTGGAGTGGAAGGTTCTGGAAGGTGCTGTGTGTTGGTACCTGGGCCGTGTGCCCTGTCTTTGGGGTCCCCTCCATGCCCACGGGTTTGGGGCCAGGACTGGGCAGCATTTCCCCCCCAGCCCTGTGTCTGGGCGTGCCTTGTCCTTTTTTGCTTACCCACCTTCCCTGCACTTCCAGCTCCACTTTCCCAGCACTGGCTGCACCAGCTGGGTTTTTTCCTGTTTTTCCCAACTGGGAAGAACCACTCCAGTTATCTGTGCTGGTGCCCAGACCTGGGCAAGGGAGGGCAGCAAATCCATAGGGATCCAGGAGGGAATGCAGCCATGGAAGCCCCTGCGAAGCACCTCCTTGTGCCTGCAGCCTGGTCTCCAGGGCATGGGAATGCTGTGAGGGCTGTGTGGCTCTTCGGAAGGGGATGGAGAAACCTGCAGGAGCAGCCAGGGGGTGAAAGGGGGAGGGCAGGATATGGTCCAGGTGCTGGGGGACAGCCCTCGAGGTTGGGGGGTGCTGGGAGAGGGCACCATATGGGAGTGATGGAAAACCCTTGGGAAGGTTTCCCTGGCAGCTGCTCAGTGCCCTTCTCCAGCGACAGGGATTTTTTGTTTTCAGGCTCCACATCCTCACGGCAGGCAGATTGATGGGATCGGTGTGGGAGCAGGGATGTGCCTGATAAAGCAGCAGCAGCAGCAGCTGCCAGGGAAACCCCTGTGCGGGAGGGAGCTCCGGCCCCGCCGTCCTCCGCAGAGCCGGGATGGATGGAGCGGATGCTGTTACCATGGCGACGGTGCCCACCGAGGACAGATGGGCTCTGGTGTTTTCCTCACGCACAGGGATGCCAGGATCCGAGAGGATGCTGTCGGGAACGCAGCCGTCCCTGGTTTCCGTGGGGAAGCCCCTCCCCAGGCTCTCCCTGGCCGGGGCACAGGGCATGTGTCTGATCACAAACCCGTGTCCGGCAGCCCCCCGGGTGCTGCCGGGTGTTGTCCCCTCCCCAGTCCCCCTGTCCTGCTGCAGGATGGGACCTGGGGGTCGGCCTTAGCAGCAGCCTCGTGCTCCCTTTGAAAGGGTCCTGAGGGGGTCTGAACTCAGGAAGAGCTTCCCAGCTCTCCCAACACCTCTGCCTGGGTGCTCCAGCTCTGTCAGGACCCACCACCCAGGGACAGTCACTGAAGTCACTAATGGGGTTTCTTTTTCTTTTCCCCTCAGCTTTGCAGCCCAGGACTGAAGACCCCACCTCATCTCTAGGGGAAGATGAAGTTACAGGAGGTGGAGGCACTGACAGCCAACCTAAAATGAAAAAGGGACACAGCCTGTGGCAGCCCAGCCTTGCCCTGCCTGCAGCCTGCTGAGGGTGAGTCCTGCTGATCTGGATTAGGTTCATGTGTGATGATTTTATTGCCACATCTCTGCATGCCTCGTTTAACTCTCCCAGCCTTCCCTGCACTGGGGCTGCTGCAGGAGGCTGTGTGACCAGGGGTGTGTGGGGCAGGAGGCTGTACCCAGGGGCGTGTGGGGCAGGGATGGGGCTCTGCAGCCCTTGGAGCAGCAGCACCTCCCGTTCCCAAGGCTGCACTGGTGTCACTGGTGCATCTGTGCTTGAACTGGCCCTGTGCCCAACCCGCCGCAGGCAGAGCACCTGCCTGAGGGGGGGATGTCCTGAGACAGCCTGGCTGGGGAACAGGGCTTCCTCCTAAGGAATGATCAAGGAAAATCAGCATTTGCTCCAAGTTCCAGCCCTGTGGGAGCCAGATTTCATGGACACTGTGCCTATGGAGAGGGAGGGCTGGAGGAAAGGCGGTGAGTGCTGGAAGAAGGCTGGGAAACAGGAGCTGAAATTGGGAAGCAACTGGGAAAAGTTGGTTCTTGGTTACCAAAGGACAGGGAGCAGGTTATTGTCCTAGTGCAGCTGCTTCCAGCCCTGTGCAGGCACACGTGCAGGGGCAGAGAGTCACTCAGCTGGTGAAGAACACGTTTCCTCACAGCAAGGGGGTCCAACACCATTCCAATAGGCTGAAGGCTTTTTTGCTCCCCCTCCTTGGATTTTAGTCTGTCTCCCTGGCACCCTATGGCATTCAGGCTTTCCCTGCCTTTTCACAAGGCTGAATTTGTGGATGTTTTCCTCTCTTTCACTTCTATGTCCATGTTCTCATGGACGCTTTTCCACATTGTGCCTGCCAAGGGCTGACTTTCCTTTTCCAAATCTGCTGCTGTCTCTACCCTGTCAGCCCTGCATGTTTGCTGGGATGTCTGTTCCCTGGATTTCCAGGGAGCAGCACTCTGAAGAGCGGGGAAGCTCTTCTAGAGGCAGGAATTTTGCTGTGTCTGCTTTTGGAATGTTCTAGAGAGGCACTCTGCAGCTCAGAGCTTGGCTTATAAAAGTCCCACAGCTGATACTGTGTAGTGAGGGGAGATGTGTAACCTGGCTGGAGCCTGTGTTGGATTAGGAGATCCCTGATCCCACAGAAACAGGCTGGGAGAGCTGGGGGTGTTCACCTGGAGAAGAGAAGGCTCCAGGGAGAGCCCCTTCCAGAGCCTAAAGGGGCTCCAGGAGAGCTGGAGAGGGACTTGGGACAAGGGATGGAGGGACAGGCCAAGGGGGAATGGCTTCCCACTGCCAGAGGGCAGGGTTAGATGGGATAGTGGGAAGGAATTGTTGGCTGTGAGGGTGGTGAGGCCCTGGCCCAGGTTACCCAGAGAAGCTGTGGCTGCCCCATCCCTGGAAGTGTCCAAGGCCAGGTTGGATGGGGCTTGGAGCAAACTGTAATAGTGGAAGGTGTCCCTGCCCATGGCAGGGGGTGGAAGGAGATGAGCTTTAAGGTCCCTGCTAACCCAAACCATTCCAGGATCCTATGAAAAGTTGTAATGATTAATATTTTTGGCAAAGGCTGTTGAGTTACATCCTGTTGAGCCCCTGAAGGATTGCTTTTATTGAGATGAATGTGGTTTAAATCCAGCCTCAGTTCACGTGGAGATGGATGGCTGCTCTTAATGGGAAAGAGCCTGCAAGTGTTGCACCAGTTTATTGCAGGTGTTTGAGGCAGCCCCTTCCTTCTGTGTTGGGAGCCACAGCGCTGGCAGGGAAAGCCAGAGCCAGGCATGGAAAAGCTGTAATTTGCAGCTCGAGTTCTTCCCTGAGCTGCCGCTGAGGAGCAGCAGCGCTAACGCGAGGCTCCTCAGCAGTGATTCCCTTCCAGGTGGCTGCAGCCTTTCACTAGCGAGTCACCGCTGCCATCTGGTGTCCCCGGGCTGTGCCACAACCCTGTGACATGAGCGGCAGGTGTCACCTGTCACCTGCCTCAGAACGGCACAAACCCACCCCTTTGTCAGCCGGACTGACGGGCAGAGCAGCACCGGGAGTTATCTGCACTGGCCAGCGAGATAAACTCACTTTATATCGTAGAACCTGGAGGACAAGTGCTGTGAGGGGTGGCTGAGGGAGCTGGGGGGGCTCAGCCTGGAGAAAAGGAGGCTCAGGAGGGACCTTCTGGCTCTGCAACTCCCTGACAGGAGGGGGAGCCGGGTGGGGGTCGGGCTCTGCTCCCAGGGAACAAGGGACAGGAGGAGACGAAAAAACCTCAAGCTGTGCCAGGAGAGGTTCAGGTTGGACATCAGGAGGAATTTCTTCCTGGAAAGGGCTGTCAGGCATTGGAAGGGGCTGCCCAGGGAGGTGGTGGAGTCCCCACCCCCGGAGGTGTCCAAGGAATGACTGGACGTGGCACTGAGTGCTCTGGGCTGGGCGACAAGAGGGGGGATTGGGCACAGGGTGGAGTCGCTGACCTTGGAGGTCTTTTCCAACCTCAGTGATTCCATGGTTGGGGTTGGAAGGGACCTTAAAGCTCATTTCATTCCAACCCCTGCCATGAGCTCAAGGTCAGTAAATAGAGGGCAGGGTTTTAATCTACCCGCCTGTGTCCTGGCTGTGCCTTGGGACACCCCCAACTTACTGGTCAATGCCTTTGCTCCCCATTTCTCCTCCCCTGGACACATCCCTGCACAGCCCCCAGCTCTGGCGTGGGTGTGACAGCCCTGCCCAGCTGCAGGTCCTGGCTCCCCTTCAGGAGGATTTGGGGGTCCCTTCCCACCCAAGACATCGGTGTGGGGGCACAATTTAATGAGTAAACAGAGATCTGATGAACAACGAGGGGAGCAGGGGCTGTAAAGCCTGCAGAAGCATAATTCCCTTTTGCAGGGATCAGGATGATGCTCCCAAGGACACAAGTAACTGGGAAAGTGGCTGATGACCAGTGGGAGTCTCCAGTGTGAGAGGAGGAGGCTGGAGTCAGCACGAGGGGAGCAACAAGGATACCCATCACTGCACTTCAAGAGGTACAGACAAAGCACTCTATTCCATGATTACAGTATTATTTTTCATGATTTACCAGTTTACTAAGGCTACTAAATGTCCTTTCCCTGATGTGAACCCCTTCCTTCTCTACTTGCTTATTAAAAGGTGATATTTTTTACCATGGAGCTTTGCAACAGAAGGAAGGCAGACGTTACATGTTCGGTGTCTGCACAAAGATTGAGGGAAGGTAACAATTTTCCTCTTTTTTTTCTCTGGAGGACACAACCTACCAACCCACAGCAACAAAAAGGGCAAGTAAAATTCCAAACCTGGTCCCTGTATTGATTAGGAATAATTAAACAAACTCTCCAAGCAGCCCAGAATTTGATTGGATTAAAAAAAGTGTATTGGATTTCCAATACCAAATAATAAACATGAAGTTATTAAAAAAAGCCATAGAGGATACAGCAAATACTACAGGAAAGCAAAAAAAATTGTACAGAAAGGTCGACGCCTACAGCAGCCCTCGAAATTATTCTACATGAGAATCATAAAACAATATACAGGTTTGGTTCTTTTTTCCCCAAATGTCTGAGGGAAGCTGTCACTCGACAGCTTGACTATGACACTACAAGGATACACAATGTTCCAAATTTAAAATCACAGGATATGTAAGAAAACGTAGCATTAAAATGTGAAAAAGTGCAATACAGATTGTACACTGAATTGAATAAATGTTTTTTCTTTTTTTTTTTTAGTTTAACCTTAAAAAACCAACTTTGAACAGTTGTTTTATCATTAAAAATATTCCCCCTCCCCAAATTCAATGACAATATTAACATTCATGGTGTTATACATAAGGAATATTCACAAAGACCCCCCCCAGCCAGGAATACTGTGTTTGTAGGATGGTATTTCTTTGGGTACAGGTGAAAAATAGGCAAAGGAAAAGGTTCACACCCTCCTTTCAGGCCATGGTGTGCATTTTTATTCTTTAAACACATATTCTGTAGCTTATTTTGCCCTGAATTGTACTGATTAAATGTCCAAACATCAGTTATCCAGGTGGCCCACAGTGCCCCAATTAATTTGATTCCCTCCCCTCCCTCAAAGAATAAATAAAGGCAGGAAACGTCCCAGAAATGACAACACAGAGTCCAGGAAAAGAAAGGAAGTGACACTACAGCACCATCCCAGCTGCTCTCCAGGTGATTCCATGGCTCTCCCCTCTCTTGGAGACGAGAAGCTTTAGTTCAGTTCAGTGGGGAACAAAGTAAAATCAGCAGAATTCCTGTTTGTTACTGGAGCTGCAGCAGTTCCAGCATTCCCTCCTGCTGCTCCCACAGGCCCAGCCCTGGCAGAGCCACAGCAGGGTCCCCAAAGCACCCGGACCTGCCCATCCCCGAGATCCCAAATCCCAGGAGGAACAGATTCCCCTCTGAACCAGCAGTAAGTTGGAGTTTCCTTTTGTTCTGGCAGTGGAATTGCACACGAGTTCATCAGGCACCTGGGGGTGGGTTTGGTTACTTTACTGAGCTACAGCCCATTTCCAGGCCGTTCTCCCTCGCAGGGAAGGGCAGAGCCAGGCAATCACACATGGAGAAAAGAAAAAAACCTTGTCCTTCCCTTTGACCTTCCCTTCCTTTCCAGACAGATGTGTGAACAGCACCTGAGTCACTAATACTGGTTTTCTTTTTACATGGTTTTCCAAAGTGTAAAAAAATACATTTTTGCCTTGTTTCTGTCTCTGGGGAATACTCCAGAGCTGGACCTTGTTTGAGTGGCCTGGGATGGAGACACTGCACTGGGGCTGGACGTGCTGCTGTGGGCAGGGAGCGTTCCCACAGGCAGGATGTGGTGTGTTGGGGATGGAAGGTCCCACAGTTCTCTCCTGGGAGCTCCACCCCAGCCCTGGGGCCTGTGCTGAGCCCTCACTCTGCACTTGCAAGGTTCATGATGCATCTTTGACTAACAACAACAAAACAGTTGCCAAAATAAGCTGCATGTAGTGTCATCTAAGCATAAGGAACCCCAATTTACAGGAGGAAGTTCTGGCAATGTTTCTAAATGAGACTCTCACTGCAGTTCAGTGACCAGAGACACAGTGATGCTAAAGGGACAAGGAAGGACATTACAGAAGATGCTTCATGTTCTTCAGTCTTTCCAGTCACTGGAGAAAGACAGGAAAACAACAAGAATGACCCCTCCCCCTGTACCCTCTCCCCTTCCCCAGCTACTTTTCCCCCCCACTCAAAATATTGAAACTGCACAAAAAGCGACAAACAAGCCTTTCAAATTACATTTCAATTCAAACAGACTGGTAATCTCACAGTGATGAGAGGAGAAAGTCAGGCTTTTAATAATTATAATATAAAAATAATAAAAAAAGCTTACAAAGAGCAGTGCAGCATCCCAAAAGGCCATGGATTAACTGCCAGAAGGGGACGTAATTGTACGCAGAATAAAAAACAAAACAGAACAACCCACACTGGCAATGAATTTCCATACACAATAGAACAAGCAGTCAAACCTCAGCCTAGGCTGTGGAAAACAACAGTTTCTCCCTTTTTTTTTTTTTAATTACAATATTTTTTCCTTTTTATAAAAAAAGATAAAATAAAAACACAAATAAAATTGTACATAAATGCCAATGTCCAACACTGAAAAGGCAGGGCAATCACACCACTGAGACAAAACCTGACCAGAACAAAACTAACGGCGAGTCCGTTTGCTTTCCTTGTGTCTGGAGTCCAGCCTGGTGTGTCCCACCCTGCCCGGCCCACAGGGGACTGGAATTCACAGGGCCATGACTTCACTGCAGGACGGTGACACACAGGTCCCCTCTGGTTGGTTCCTCTCCTTCCCAATTGCTCTCATGTGCTGTCCCTCTTTCTGGTTTGTTGTTTGTATTTTTTTTTTCTCTTTTTTTCCTTTTTTTTTTCCTCTGTACAATTCCTTGCGTTCCAAGGCTGAGTCCCACGACTTGCGGAGCGGTTTGGAGTCATGTCCCGGGGAGGTGGTCACGCCGTGGTGATGGCATTGAGGTCCTTCATCAGTCCTTCCAGGTGGGCCATCTCTTTGGTCAGCTCATCCGGCTCGTAGGTCTGGGGAGAGGGAGAGGGTTACTACAGGGAGCCTTGGCTCTCCTTAGGGAGGGACAGGACAGGAAACACAGAGGAATGGTCAGGGACTGCTGTGGGATACGGCTCTGACTCAGGAATAACTACACCTGGATTGGATTTAGCCACAGTTACAGGAATTAATAACTTGAAAGAACACTCTAAGGAGTGGCTGGAGCTGTGCTGGGGGAGGTTCAGGTTGAATAGCAGGAAAAGGTTCTTCCCCCAGAGGGTGGTCGGGCACTGAACAGGCTCCCCAGGGCAGGGGGCACGGCACCAAGGCTGCCAGAGCTCAAGGAGGGTTTGGACAATGCTCTCAGGGACAGGGTGGGAGTTGGACTGATGATCCTTGTGGATCCCTTCCAGCTCAGCATATTCTATTCTTTGATTCTATTTTCAGTGCAGCTCTTTGGGCAGTTGTGATTCAGAGTCCCACTGAATAAACCGTGATCAGCTGATCTGTTTTCCTTGTCTCAATCCCTGAAGGGAACAGCTGCCTTTGAACCAGAGTAGGCAGTTTAGAAAAGTCTTCCCAGCTTAACTGGAAAAAAGGTCAAAGGAATCACCTCAAAAGAAATGTTTTGAGTATCGTTATCCTCCCTGAAATCAGTGTCTTAGGCTCTGAGGTCCAGTTTGAGCTGCACTGATGAGCCATCACCTCTGTGATCAGTGCTGTGTGCACACAGACACCATGAACCACGGCAGCTCCAAACCTTTTCTGACCAAGTCCTTCCCAGTTCTGTGCAGTTTTCAAAACCCTGACCCTGCTCTCACTTCCTTTCCTTCTAAAGACAAACCTTCTCCTAATTCAAATGGCAATGACCTTCCAGTTTATCAAACATCTGGACTGTACCAGAGAAGTCATCCCTGCCCTGGGTCCAACACGTTATCTGCCAACCACTGACAATGATAAACAGCAGCAGCTGAAAGTAAACTCATTCCTACAGGCTCTCATAAAAAAACAGAGTTAATTCAAATCACTACCTAACCCTAAACCCCTTAATTCAACTCATAATTTAATTTTGAAAACTCATACTTGAACTAGCAATTTAATTTAACTAGTATTTAGTGTGCTGACTCTACCTTGTACTAATTTATCAATGAACAAAGTTATTAATGGCTCTATTTGAATATTACCGATTTATTGATGGATAAACTAATGAGTAAGGGTTTGGTACTGACCAAACAAAACAAATAAAGCAGGAGTGACATCTAGACAGAAGGGCAAAAGGGCACCAGATCAAATTTCTAGACCAGCACAAGCAGAAATAAAATCAAGAGGGCAACAAAAACGTGACAAATGAAAAGGACAACGAGGAAAAAAAGTAAAATAAATTCAAAATAATCATTTCCTGTAGCAGTGATCAGAGCTAATACCTCTGTGATACTGAAGACAACATATGATTCTAGTGAGCCAGTAGCTACTGGAGAAACTTCCTGGCTTGCAATTTGAAAGGAAAACAGCTCTTCCAGTGCCTCCCACCCAAAACATCCTCAACATCCTTAACAGATACTCCCAAAAGCAGCCCAACAGGTGGCTGCATCCTTCCCCAAAGTCAGAACACTTTCACAGGAGAATCTACAAACATATTTGTGATGATGCTTAAAACACGTTGGCATTAGTGCCACATGTTCCCTGTGCAGTGACACTGGGAATGCTCTGCAGCAGCAGGGCTGTAACAGGACCCTGCCCTGGGCAGAAGGTGTTTCTCCTTCTCTACTTTTTATATGGATTCACAGGTAATGGCGGTGTTGGAAGTCTGGAGCCTTGTGACCCTCTGCCTTTGAAAGTGTCAGTGCAGAATTCCTGAAGTTTCCAAGTGTGACACAAATAAGGAGAGACCTCCCCCCAGTCTGTGAGCACTGCAAGGCCAGGCCTGGCAGTGGAAGTACCTACGCTTTCCGAGTCCTCCAGCATCCGAGTGGTCTCCTGCACGTCGGGGGCACTGGGAACGACCACGGGCATGGGAGGGCGAGTCCTTCCCAAAGTGCCGATGGACGCAGTCTTCACCGAGTGAACGGGGTGGGTGGGAGCTGGAAACCAATGGTAGAGAGTCAGGCCTCAGGGAATTGGTTCTTGGGCTTAATCAGAAAGGAGGAGAATAAGAACAGGGGGGAACGGCCTTAAACTGAAGGAGGGCAGGGTTAGATGGGATACTGGGAAGGAATTCTTCCCTGTGAGGTCCTGGCACAGGTTGCCCAGAGAAGCCGTGGCTGCCCCATCCCTGGAAGTGTCCAAGGCCAGGCTGGATAGGTTGGATGGCAGGGGTGGGACTGGATGAGCTTTAAGGTCCTTCCAACCCAAACCATTCTATCATGATTCTATGATGAGGAAAGACTGTATTAGAGGAAAGTGAACACTTAAACTTTGGAGCGTTGGATCCAAATTTTTGTCCAATTTATTTACGTACAGAAAAAGGCCTTGAAAATGACACCAACAGAACTCACTGCAGCCTTGAACACACTTCCTTGGGTGCCCAACTCCACCCCCTGCCCCTCAAGGACCTTCCCTGTTAAGACCCCCCTGTTTTGGCAGCGGTGCCTGTCCCCTCACCTTGCTGGGTCAGCAGGGGGGTGCTGGGCAGGGCAGGGTCGTAGGAGGCCCCGGCCGGGGGCACCGCGGGCACCGCGAAGCTCTTGAGCGGGTGCGACGGGCGGACGTGGGCAGTGGGCAGGCCCTGGGCAGGGTCCTCCTCCTGGGCAGTGCCCAGGTATGAGCCCGCGGAGCCCTCGGGGTCCTGGTGGTCGGTGCCCGGTGGGGCCGAGGGCGCCGGCAGCGTGTCCGTGCTGGGCGTGTTCCGGACGGACTCTGCAACACACACACTGCAGTTACTGGCTGCTCAGAAACGGCCTCTGGGACACATGGAAACACAGCAGGCTACTGGGAAGCACCTTTTCCAGGGTCACTGTTACAAGCTACAGGGGAATTCGGACATAACCCCAGTTCTGTGTGACTGCCCTGTTTTACGGTGAACAACGGCTGTCTAGTCATACAATGAGTTGAGAACTGAATGATTCCACATCCCCAGCAACAGCAAATCAGCAGTTCTGCACTGAAACAGCTCCATGGAGTAAGTCCTCAGATAAACAGCAGAGAACACAAACCTTCGTTCTCCTTCTGCCCTTGAGCATCTCATAGTACTGGCATGTGTAACCAAATCTGTAATTTAAGGTTCACACCAAGCACTAGTGCAGACACAGGAGCCTGAGATTTTTCTAAGACAGGCTTGAAATCCATTTACTTGGAGTCACAGGATGGTTTGAGTTGGAAGGGATCTTAAAGATCATTTAATTCCATGCCCTGCTATAACCTTCCACTATCCCAGGTTGCTACAAGCCCCATCGAACCTGGCCCTCAACACTTCCAGGGATGAGGCAGCCACAGCTTCTCTGGCCAACCTGTGCCAGGGCCTCTCCACCCTCACAGGGAAGAACTTCTTCCTAAGAATTTCTTCCTACTTGCTGAAAGCTCAAACTCAAGCTCAAATGAAATCCCAGCTTGCTGTGCTTGCAGCAGGCTCCACACTGACCTAAGAGAACGAGATGGTATCTTACATTCAGGGCGTTGTGATCCTACTTGGAGCACAGGCAGGGAAGGATCTGGATTGTGGGAGCTGTCACTTCACTGGTATAACCTCTGCCTCTCACATATTGCCTCCCTGTGTCCTCGCAGCCTCAGGAATTGTTCTCATAAGGAAACAACACTTTTGGCTGCGACACCTTAGAATGCTGACCTTAAGGTAGAAAAGTTTAGAGTTCCCTCCAACTCAACATTTTACCCACGTGCAATTTAGTGACAGTGTGGCTTCAGAAATCTTCAGAGCACTGGAGACATTGCAGAAACTACTGCAATTCATTGTGCTTCAAGCCTGAAAATACTGCATGGAAATCACCCCCATTTTCTGTGTCCTTCAGGAAGGTTAACAAATGTCACTCTCGGTAGCCAAGTCTGGACCTTTCTCCTCTCTTGGTTTGAAATGGCACTAACCAAGGAAAAAGTTATCACATTAAGTAGCTCAGATTTAATCTGGTGTTTCAGGGCTGAAGGCTTTAGCATAAGGAATCCTCCTGTTTGTAGCTGTGTATAAAACATGGAGCTTCCTCTTCCATCACGTGCCTCAAGGATCTGCACAAGTAAGCTCAACCTATCCAGGATTTTGTCTGCACTTACACCCACGTCCTTAAACCTCATGGAACAGCACAGTGGGGACTGACCGAGATTCAGGCTTTGAGTTCCACACGTTTCACTCCCGGTTCCATTAGAGCAACACGGCCCTGGTGGTTTGTGTCTCACCTGTGGAATTGGCCCTGTCTGAGTGGGACAAGGCTGTGCCCAGGGGCCAGGGGCTGGGCTGGTGGTGGAGGTAGCTGCGGGTTGGAGAGGCGAGGCTGCCGGAGTGGAAATGGTGGTGGGGGTTATCGAGTGAATGGATGGGATGAGCACTAATCACAGCTGTGGATGAACACAAGACAGAGAAACACTTAACACACACACAGTGCTTGTGGACTGAAAGGCACCACATCCCTCCCTTCCCCACACAGCCACTCGGCAGGGGAGCCAGACCCTCAGCAGGTTCACAATCCACCTTAAACTCCTGGATCATCAGACCTGAATCGTGTACAGGACAAAAACATCACCTGATTACAGGCCAAAAAGCAGTACCACCAACTTAATTCACATCAGGATGCACTGTTTGATTTCAAGGAAGAGAAAAGTTCAGATGAAGAATAGAGAGAATATAGATCTACTATCCACATATAGTGTGTGTGTTCAAAAAGAAACAGCCCTTTGCTTCCTAATATCCGTCCAGGATTTTTGTATTTCAGTAGTCAAAGAAGGAGCTCACTTGGTACACACCATTACTGCAAATTATGCTAAAATGGAAGAGACTGAATTATCCTAAATTAGTACCTAAGAGGTAAATAACTAGATCTGAGTGCTCCAG